CCAAAAGATTAGCTGCCCTTCCTAAATAGGTGTTGCCCATGAATAAGATAACAATGAATTTTATACCTTTATTCCTTCATCTAACTGGTTGACAAAAAATTTATAAAAGGTCAAGGACAGGAATCTAAAACACTTTCTGCTTGACATGGATTTTCTTAAATTTTTTTTTTCAACGTTTTTTATTTATTTTGGGACAGAGAGAGACAGAGCATGAACGGGGGGAGGGGCAGAGAGAGAGGGAGACACAGAATCGGAAACAGGCTCCAGGCTCCGAGCCATCAGCCCAGAGCCTGACGCGGGGCTCGAACTCACGGACCGCGAGATCGTGACCTGGCTGAAGTCGGACACTTAACCGACTGCGCCACCCAGGCGCCCCGACATGGATTTTCTAATCAACGTTTTTTGGTATGCTTGTTCAACTTTCTATACATTTCCTTCCATTTATATCAATGTCTAGCCTATTTTTTTAGTCTATTTTTCTTGAATGAATTTATCACTAAAATGGAGTTTAATAAACATTCGATATTTTAAATTTTTTTAAACGTTTATTTATTTTTGAGACAGAGAGAGACAGAGCATGAACAGGGGAGGGGCAGAGAGAGAGGGAGACACAGAATCTTAAACAGGCTCCAGGCTCTGAGCTGTCAGCACAGAGCCCGACGCGGGGCTCGAACTCACAACCGTGAGATCATGACCTGAGCGGAAGTTGGACGCTTAACCGACCGAGCCACCCAGGCGCCCTAAACATTCGATATTTTAAAGCAACTTTTTGACACAGGTGTTTTGATAAGGCCACATCTGTGCACCCATTTTAAAACTATGAGCATCCTCTTAAAACTAGATAATGGGGCCATTATGACATAGAGGATACTGTGACAGTCTAAAGAAATTACACCATAAGTTTTTTAATTGCCGAATTAGCAAAAGTAAAAAAACAGACATCTTCATAGTTCTCTTCTCTGTCATCCTGTCTTCCTTGAATTCCCCATCACTAGTGTAGAGCTCAGAAAGGGGAAATAGTAATGAATTTCTCTCATTCGAATACTTAGCAAGCAAAAACTAAAAAAAAAAAAAGAAAAAAGTACTTTAATGTTTGGCACAGCTGCTCTGAAATGTTACACCAGAACAGCTTCAATTTGGAGGGAACTATGCCAAATAACTATGGGCCTCGCTTTGCAGTGCGGGCATCCATAACAGGATTATTGGAGGTATGTGGGGAGGGAGAAGAAAGGATCTGAGCAAGAACTTTTCCTGTTAGCCTTGATCTAAAGGACGAGTGTCTACACTGAAGAATCGCGGTGCCCAGAGGATAGCTTTATCTTTATGAAGCTAATGATGCACTTCATCTCATTTCGTGAATGGGAGAACAATTCTTTTCACAGTGGTAAATAATAAGGTTCTTTATGCCAAGTGTCTCTTGCATTCTGAAGGCTTTTTAATTTCAAAGAAAAACAAATGTCTAAGGAAACCGTGTTTAAAAAAATAAAGAGTTGGGCGCCTGGGTGGCGCAGTCGGTTAAGCGTCCGACTTCAGCCAGGTCACGATCTCGCGGTCTGTGAGTTCGAGCCCCGCGTCAGGCTCTGGGCTGATGGCTCAGAGCCTGGAGCCTGTTTC